TATATATATATATATATATATATATATATATATAGTGTTAACGGCTATCTTGATTTATTTTATACGCAACTATTTGTTTCTATCCGTACTTATTGTGTAATGGAGTGTATCTGGTGGTATTTGAATCTGTTCAACCATGAAGCCTCCGTGGTCTAATGGTTATGACGCTCGCCTTGACAGCGAGAGGTCGCAGGTTCGAGACCCGCCGGTGGCGTTATATTACACAATTTCTTTATTCATTTATTTACAGGACTACATTCGTTGAGAGCTATGCTACACGATGTATTATTATGTCCTTTATCCGAACACTATATTTACCTTTCTTTGATAATTTATATATATAATAGCGTACCGGTACCCTCTTCTCAATTTTCTGCGTGCACGATTTATATCTTACATGGTTCTGAACCACCATACAGCCCGATGTATATACCGTATTAATATTGGTCTAAATGTTGACTTGCATTGAGTCGTGACAATTTTTAGAGTACAGAAATAAGTACTGAAAGTTGTCAGGTTGTTTTGGAACGTAAATTCGTAAGATATTATTATTAAGCATTATTTTTACACATCCCAACCTGTAGAAAATATGTTCTAATGCCCTGTCCAGACTATCAAATTTCATTTGACAAAACATGTGACATGCCTAAATATGGTCATGACGACATCACATCATGATAGGCACATCATGACTATGGGTATACAAGAAAATATGATAATCTGGACAGAGATATGAGACTCCAGAACATTTTAATTTCATTTAATGTTTGGTAACCTAAATATATAAATAAGGTTAAAGTAGTGATGGTGCCGTGATTTCCCAACGGGGGCTCCGATGACTGGCGGAGTGGCGTGTTTCTGACGCGAAGGCCGATTTCCCCTACGACAGATTCATAAATGTGCGGTTCAGGGAGATCACATGGGATACTTTACACATTTGTGAGAACACTTGAATATTATTGGAGGGAGTTCATTCTATTTTAAATTTGAATGACATTTGACCTTAAGCCAGGCAATCACTGCGACCGACGGATCGTTTTATAATAGGGAGCTTTCGATTGCACGACGACGGTAGGACGTAGAACGTAATGACGTCACTAAAAGTCATCTCCGCATGCGAGAACGTTAAGGTCACCTCGTCGAGTAGATTCTGGAACGCAGTTTTGCCAAATAGGCCTATACGTATGCAGAGAACGTAGGACACCAGGAAGGACGGTCATGCATGAGTGATTCCGTTCTAGCGTCGAGTCGTCGCACAAATCGAAAGCTCGCTATTGACGACCCATTCAGACTGTTACCTGCTGCCATCGACAATCAGTAGACGACATCGGGTCGTCTAGTGCTCAAAAAGAGCGGAGTTGGAGTTGAACCGACGGTCGTACAACGCAGTGAGTTTCCCGATTTACATGAGGGCTACACAACCTTAGAGCTACTGCCTATGTCTTTGCTGTGTTATTGCATATTACTGTCACTTGCATATATTTTCTTCTGTGTTGCTTATTTGATAAGCAACTCTTTCAAGAGATTTTTGTTAAAAATATCATATTGTATTTCTGTATCTCAACATTTACAAAAGTTAATATAATTATTTCAAGTTATCGTTTTGATAAAGATGGAAGTTTGATTATAACGAAATACCGTAAATCCACGAATATTTTTTTTGGAGGCTTCTGTGCGGTGCTTCGAGAGCGGCGCTTAATTGAGAGTTGCGCTGGCTGCGCTTATTAAAACAAATATTGGCGTGGCGCTTTCCATGCCCATTCCCACGTGACCTATCTCACGTATTCCCATGGTTCGGTAGGCCTATCATAGACCCTATATCATTGTACATAAACGTTTATAAGGATATGCTTGTGTCTTCGTTTTGTTTATTCATTCATTGTATTTCAAACCCTGTTTCTCAAAGTGTTTCATTACACATAGCTTATTCAATTGAATAATCTCGGACAAGCGCCGCGGTGTTTAGCGGAAAAAGAATCACGTTTGGTGCGGCGCTTATTCGAGAGCGGCGCTTATGGGGGGGGGGGGTGGCGGCGCTTATTCGAGGATTTACGGTATATAATGGTTAGAGTTGTTATTGTTTTGAAGGCAAACGTACTAAAACGAACTGTACATTTTGGAAACTCGTGTAAAAGTGACATCTTGGCTGTGTTGTATTTCATGTATAATTAATAGAAACGGTAATACCATGTTAAGCACTGTCAAAGTATTAATGAATGCATTAAAGCGGTTTTTTTAAATTTAAATATTTCAAAAAAAAATGTAGGTGTATTTATTTTTTTGTCGTCTCACGTATTTAGCTGAATGTGAGTCTACACCAAGCTATATGACACATGGCTTGAACTACCTGTCAGAACTGTTAGGCCTCTTATCGACAGATGTCTGAAGCCACTGAATCTACAGTAAAAGCCTGCTCACCTTCGACTAGTGGACAGGCATTTACTCTGTGGCAAAATCTAACAAACTGATGACTGTTTTGTTGTACAATCTCATTGACTCTCATGTTTTTGTTTTGAATACTTGATATTGCAACCTCGCACAGATGTGGACAAAATGCTTTGCAAAACGATTTTATAAAAATTAGAATGTTTTTGACATTTCGACGTAGTCAACAAAAAAAACCCAAAAATAATATTGACTCAGTCACCATTCTAACAAGCCAATTCGTAGTTTCGCACGTATGCACTATATGGAATGACTCCTCTATTTTTATTAATAAACATATTTAAGATAATAGGATATAATTTTTTGAGGATTAAAATCAGGTCTATTGATTTTTAGCCGAATGTACAGTACATATACAGTAATATATTTGTGTGTATAAAAATATCCCAAATTGATTTCAATCCTTGGAAATGAAGACCAAATTGAATTATGAATTGCTTCTCATTTTATTCAATGTCTGCGTTTACTTTAATAAATCCAATACCTAAGATTCACGATTTCATTTATAGTCCAAATTTGAAATACGAGGAGGCAAACAATTGCTTCATCATTAATAGCTACTTTGTCTATTAAACTAGCAATTAATACCTTTCGATGGCGCCCTCAACAACAACAAAACATAAAAC